TAAAATTGAGTCAAAATCAGTCTTTCGAGCTGATTTTGACGTATTTTTAGGAACAAAAACATTATATTTTAACTTTTATTAGAACGCATGAAAATATAGCTCATTAAGACAAAATGGCACAACTCATTTTCTTAGAAAAACGTCAGTAAAAACCCAGAGTAATATGCGTGTTTTGAACAAACTGCATTTCCGATTTTGGTCAAAAAAAATCAAAAAATCCAGTTTGATGAACATGACTCTTCAAGTGCTGAACAACCAAAACCCTGATAAAAATTTGACAGCCGCTGGAACGGACAATAAAGAAATGGCGAAAATAAACTCATCCCACTCTTTATGCATCGAAGTTGCTTCTTGTAAGGGGCCAGTGCTATAAATTTTTGTGGAGAAAAATTTTTTGGAGTTTTAGGGAGGTACGTGGGGGAATGGTTAACGAGTGACCAATAGCCAACCACCTGCTCATAAAAACTACCAGTCATATTCGGGGGACTTTTTGGCTGTGAGGGCTTTGCTGATGGGGGTGTGTCTAGACGCATCTTGCTGGTATATTTTGAGATCGAAATATGATTGAAAGTGGACAAAATGAATAAAATTGAAATACATGTTAGCAAACATGGCACACTGGCAAGTAACACCCCTCCCACGCTAGAAGTTTAGGTTTCAGTTCCGCCATAAACACAGTCATTTGTTTCTTTGTTTATCATTGCCTTTAATTGATAGACTAATATTAAAGCGTGCAAGGGAGTAAAATCCAACGTCAATTTTTTTCTAAGCAACCCTGGAAAGAAAATCACCGACAACCTTGCCAGTGAATGGTTGCTTTTGGCATCTGCTACCACTCGGGTTAATTTCAGGTACCTTCGCCTCTCGTAGCGACAGTTAACAAAAGGTTCTCGACTCAAAAATATTACTATCTCAACTTTTTGAAATACAAGTGGTTTGTCGCGGTTTTTTTTTCTTTTTACGCAGGCCGCCCATTCATATCGGTAAAAAATGGATAAAAAAAGTCAGATGGCAAGGCGATATCAATAGTTGGAACTTTTGAGAATATCTGTACCGGTGGTGCAACAGTTTTGTCAACAAAATATGCTAAGAAACTAATATATATGTGCTGGTAGCCAAAGGTCGTAAGATCCACAATGTCCGGTTTACTGACTGCAATGCTGCATGATATCAGTTCATGCGAATAAGCGTTAATATTCCCGATTCGAACATACCCAAATTCAATTGT